GGCGCCTCGAAAACCTCCACCGCCCGAGCAGCAGGCGGAGCCTCCCTGCCCGAGCGCGGGGCTTGTCCGCTCTCAGCACCTTCTAGGAAGCTTGTCACGGTCCTGGCCCAAGACGCACAGGTGTGTCTGGGGGGATGGATGGACTAGAGACCACCTTTTGGCCAGTGACCAGAGACTGGGCCCTGGGTCCTCTTCCCACCCTCTCATCCACATCTGTCGGGTAAGCAGGCCTGGCCCGAGGGCAAGGAGGGCCCACGTTCTGGCAGGGGCCCAGGTCCTGGGCTCAGGGTGGTGCAGGCCCCGTGGGAGCCATGGGGGGCGGGGGCAGGCCCCGTGGGAGCGGTGGGTGGGTGGAGGGCAGGTCTCTGGTGCCTGAGCAGCTGGGGCCCTGCCTGTAGGCCCATCAATAGATCCCCTTCACTCTCTTGTTGCCGGGATCAAAGGGAGATTTCAGGTGAGCCCAGGCAGGGTAGGCCACCCCCATCCTCTCCAGGCTGTAGTCCCCACTCTTCACGAAGTCCGGGGAGACCTAGGGGCAGAGGAGAGACGCCGTCACTCGTTACTTCCTGGTGGTGCTGGGCCCACACCTGCTGCTTCTCGAAGCAGGACCTCGGCCTCGCTTCCTCCCCTGCGAGCAAGCCAACCCCGCGCAGGGCCTTCCCTGAACCAAGGGCCTGGCCAGCGGGTGGATCCTGTGCCCCTGGCCCAGCGGGTGGATCCCGTGCCCAGATCCCTGGGTCCAACAAAGCCAACATCTGGCAGGGATAACACAGGGCTGGGCCCCATGGAAGGTGTTGGGGGTCTGCCCTGGGGTTAGGGGCGCCCTCCCTCCCGGCACTCAGGACCGGGAGAGATCAATGAAAACACACAAGGAGTGAGGCGGCTTCTCGGCCGAGTGTCCCGTGGCCCCGGGCAGAGGCCCAGGCCGTGGGGGCTTCCAACACCTAAGCCAGGGCCACCCAAGCTGCCATGTGGTCCTTGCTAACACCCCCCGACTCACCGGCCCGCCGCTGGGGTCCCGGATGTAGCCGTAGGCGAGGGTCTTGTCGATGGTGAAGCCGAAGTCGGCCCTGCGCACGTGGCCCACCACCTGGCCATCCCTCCAGATGGCCTCCAGGCCAAACATGGGCACTTTCCTGGGAGACGCAATAGACAGACTGGGACCCAGAGCCCCATCCCCGGGAGACACCTGGCGGGAGGGGGAGGGGGGCTGGAGCCCCGAGACCCCCACACTGAGGGGACGAGCCTGGAGGGTGCGGTGTCCAGGGTGAAGCGGCCTGGGCCCCGTCCCGTGGACGAGGATGGGACGGAAGGAGGTTTTGTGAACATGTCCCGTCTCCTTTGGTGCCACCTCCAGGTGAGGAGACAGAGCAGAGGGCGGGCACTCCCTGTGGCTGCACGGCCGGCATCCTGGTGGGGTCGCCCGAGGACGGGACCGCAGGCTGCCAGCCCTACGCTGTCTGTGCCCAACCTCGCCAAGCTGTTCCAGGTGACGGGCAGACAGTCACGCAGACGGTGACAAAGAGCTCTGCTTGCCCCCGGCCCCCGCCTCCACTCCCATCACTCCTGACACCTCTGAAAGCCCCAGACTCTGGGAACAGGGCGCTGGCTGTCACCCCAAACCCACAGAGCTAGAGCCCGCCCTGGAGGCGGCTGCCGCTCGGACTCCACGGAGCCGTGGCTCTGACGCACATGGACTGTCACCTCAGAGTGACTCCGCCCGCCCACGTGGAACCCAGGTGCCCAGAACCAGGGACACCATGGCCCTGGCTGAGCAGCAGGCGCAAAGCCGCCTGGGGAGGCAGAGGGCAGGTCCGAGAGAGGGGCTCCTCTCGCTGGCAGGAGGCCCAGTCCCTCGCACCAGTGGTCCCATTTGCAAGTGGGGGTGGCCCCAGCCTGGCCCTGCCCGCCCCGTCCCCTATCCCGGGGCCCGGGGAGCAGGCAGCTGGAACAGTGGGAGGCCCAGCGCGGTGACGGGAAGCTGCCTCGAGGCCGGGCCACCCTCCCAAGGCTCCTGTCTGGGTTGACCCCCTGGTGGTGGCTTGGCAGGACCTCCCTCTGTTAAAATCCGCGTGGGAGGAAGGCGAGCCC